TAAATATATTCTCATTCCAAATTCGCCCTTTTGTTGTCTAACTTTTTATTACCACAATTATGAGTATATTAATAACAAATTAAAAACAAAAACAAAAGATATGAAGATTTATTCTAACTAGACAAAATGTAGTGTGTTTTTCAAATATCAAACGTTAACATTTGAATGATTATTAAAGTTTTTGCAAATTACAAAGATAATATTTTCTTTCTCATGTGCTGTGTTTTGAGTTAATTTAAGAAGTTTTATAGTAAATCTTTTACATATTTTTCAATTTTATAATTTTTTCCAAATCGATGGCTTGAAAAATGAAAGATATAAGATACCAAAAAATTATATATAAATTTGTTTGCATTGTTTATAAGCTAATACAAAAATAGATTCTCATAGTTGTAAATTATTGCAATTTATTTGTAAGAGTATTATAAGTCATTCATAATTTTAAATAATTTAACATTTCTTGTTCAAATCAATGACACAAAAATATTAAAGAAATTTTTTGATCTTGTTATCTATTAAAGAATTTTAAAGTTTCATTAAAGAACAATATCGATCAATTAAGAAAAATTAAGAGACAAATTTAGTCTGTTATGATAATTAGCACAAGAAAAATACAAATTTGGATTGAAATTGTATCCTCTCTCAAAAAATGAGATTTTTAATATTATATTTTGAAATGAATTTCAAATGTTACAAAAAGTTTAAAGTAGAGGAACCAAGTAAAATTTTTTAAAGTTTAAGGGTGCCAAATGCAATAGCAAGAAATCTCCCCTGAAGTTTTTGACCTTCTTTAATAGTAAACTCTGCTAAAAAGAACTAAAGAACTAAAGAAGTTTACTAATTCCTTTAAGGTACTTTTAACCACTCATTGTAGTTTTTATAAAATTTAGTGTAAATCCAAACAATTTAGGTTTTATTGTGAATTTTGTTTGTATTCAAGTTTAGTGGGAACTACATCAAATATAGTAAGAATTACACCAATCCAACAAAATGGTGCAAAACTTATCTGAACCCTGTCCCATTCCTCTTCTATAAATAGTCATTCCTGATTCATAAGTTTGTACATTCTCCTAACATACCATTCATTAATGACCAAAATCACAGAGAAATAAATAGGAAAGATAAATACCTTATAGCTAAACTCTCAAAAATATTTGGATGCTTATTTAATCCAAGTCCACGGTAGATATGCATAATGGATGCTTTCAGTTTATATGTTGCGGTTTACAAATCAAAGCTGGTGCTTCTAAGCCTTTTATATATGATGTTGAATTCTTCATAGAGTTGCATCATTAAACATCTTAAACTAAAAGATTATTTAACCTTTTCCTTGTTTATTTTCAATTGAAGCTGCAGTAAGTGCCAGTTGAAGAATTGAAGGAATGTTTCAAACAAAAAAAAAAAGCTTTTATTTCAACTAGGAGAGCAGCAACAATGAACACAGAACAACAAACAATTCCAAATGAATTAGATTATGCATCAAACCCATCTTTAAATTGACTTAAGCTGCACAACTAAAACCATTTTAAGAGTTCGTCAACCAAAGGCAAATTAAGGTAGAATGTCAATGGGAATAGTGAAAATTATAAAGAAAAATATGAAGAGAAACTAAGAAGAAAATATCGAAGAAATTAAGGGAGATCAGGATCACATTCCTTTTTTTTTTTCTTTTCTTTTCTTCTATGAGCTGGATCGAAAAAGTAGTCGTTTCCCTTCTTAAGTTTTAATGATCAGCATCAACCATTTACGTCCCAAATACTAATACACCATAAAGATGTTGTCACATTGGCCGACCAAGATTTATCAATTTGTTCTCAACAATTCATCTGATATTTCCATCAAATAATCTCATTATCTATCCATGATAGTAAAGGATTAATCTCCACTTATTAATGCATAGGAGATCACGATACAAACTATCCTCATATTCCACAAAAATGACCAAAAAAAAAAAAGGGAAGAATTACCCATAACTCCTATCATGAAGATGAAACGCCTAAATGTAATGGCATCTCACATTCTTTAGAAGAGGCAACCGATGGATCTTGGTGGCTTTCGTGACCATTGCTGTTTTCGCTATCCATTACAACCACACCACCAAATTGCACATGTTTTCCTTCGCGCGGAGAATTCACAGCAGCAGCAGAAGCAGCAGAAGGCTGATCGTTGATGGATTCATTTCTTGCCATTGCGTTGTTTGAAATCGTGGCGTTCCTCCTCCTTGACAATCTTCGATCATTAAGACCATTATGACGACAACAAGCTTTTATGCAGGTATATATATATGTAAAAACCCAAAAAATCCATGGGGAACCTATCAAAATGAATGCTGCAATTGGAAACCATGGTTCAGAGACTGAAGGCATGAAAACATACATAGCCAGGAGGACTCCACCGGTCGTTACGCATACACAAAATATGGAAGAGATCAAAGGAACCCTACAATCTCCTTCCCTTGATTCCTCCATTCTTGTTTAATTTTTTGCTCAAGGGCCTGTCACCCTCTATAGATGTTGTAGATCCTCTATTCCTTTTTATTTTCTTTTGGGATTTTCTTTCGGGATTTTCTTTCTCTGTCTTTAGGTTAAATTTTTTTTCTCTTTTTTCTTTTTTTGTTGGGAAGAAGCTGATGTTCAAGAATGTTTCATTTGTCTTCCAGATCTAGGGTTGAGTTGCAAGAAAATTATGTAATGATGAAATTTTTCAAGAAGGAAAACAAGGGGAGAATAATGCGGGAAGCTTTTTTATGAGAATATTGATCAAGGGAGTTGTATATGGTGATGCATTTGACGCAAAAATCAGTTTTGCTAGTAGAAAACTAATTCTACTTATTTAGTTTTTGCCAAGAAAGAAAAATAGCTAGTTTTAAGAATTGAACATTATTGTAAGACGTTTAAGGAAAAAAAAAACTCTTATTCCATGAGCTGAATGAGAGATAAACCGTAGGGAAGGGAAACAAAAGTAGCTTAATCTTTTCCTAATTAAAATTTGTGGATTACTTAAAGAACTAGACCATGAGAATTTTATCAAGGTAAGGGACAAAAAAAATTTTATCGTGGACCAACCTGAAATAAGAGTAAATTGACATCATGAATGACAAAATTTTGTTATATCACATAACGGCCCGAGCTTTAAACTACTCTAAAAGAAGGAAATGGAAAACTAATTCATTCTAGTCAATGGATAATCACAAGTAACAATTATCTCAGGTGTAGATGAATTAGACAACGGCAACTAAATCGAGCATCAAGTCTTGAAGACAATCTTAGAATCAACCAAATAATACTATCACCATTTTAAATTCACTATAAAAACAATTGTAAGTCTTTTCAAAGCAGTAATTATTATTGAAGTACGATCATGAGATTATTAGCAAAAAGAAGTATTCCACCTCCAAGTTTGCTTTCTAAAATTTGTTCTTTCCAAACAGTGATGGTTTTCGAGTGAAGGGATATGATGGAAGGTCTTGGACGGACAATTAGGTGTGAAAGAAGGTTATGAGGTTCGTCCCAGAGGAGGAATGTAAATTAATCAAACTATTCAACTCGAAAAACTTGACTCAATCACATCCAAATCATAATGTTTGGAATTCATATTATGCAAGGTTATTTTGCTAATTCAAATTGAAGGATGATATAAAATTGGTCTATTTTCGGCATCATATCCATAGTTAGCGCATCATCATAGTTAGCAACTCCAACTCCATATCAAGGTCATGATCGATATCGTCACTAGCATCAATATCGTCACTATGATCAATATTGATATCACCAACAAGAAAATCTTTAGACTTGTTATCCAGGAATTTGTTCAGAAATACAGTAACTTGATGAAAGGTTGGACACAAACTCAACATTGACTAAGTTTAAGTCAAGTTCGAGTTACAGGATAAGGTAATCGATTCGAATTCCAGTAGAAAAAAATCAAAACTCGAGTACTCATCGAACTTTATGAAGTAGCGTATTTATATATAAAAATTATGAAATTTAATAAAAAAATCGAACTTGAAAACTTAATTAAACTAGATTAAACTTGATTGAACTTAATTAAACTCAATTTGGTTGAATTCGAACTTGAACTTGAGTAAGGTAAAATGAACTCGAACTTTACTTTGAAGAATTCGACTAGCTCAACTTCAACCTCTACTCAACCTCAAACTCAAGCATTTTTACTTGAGTAGAGGTTGAGTAGTGCACTACTACTCGAGTTCTATTCGAACTCGACTTGACTTGATAGCAGTTCTGTTCTGGAATTAATTGTGTAGATATCAAAACCTTGGAGAGAAAACGTAAAGCCATCACCGCCATGGTTCAAGATATTGTTCCACAGATAAAACTTCAATTTCCAATCAATCTTCCTACAAAAAGAAAATTACCTCGAAGATTACTTATGAGTTTTGCCCCCGACTTCATCAATGATGTATAAATTTGTAAAGTTCTAGTTAAAGACTCATTTCAATCATGACTTAAAATAATATACCTTTTAAACTCAATGCCATTCTCAATTACGGCAATTAGCAAATCTAATTAGGGATTCAAAATTACTGAAATTAGCAAAACTTTTTAGTGGTAGATAAATAAATTTTTTGGAGAAACTTCAATACAGATCAAAAGAATGTATAATTTTGAGCAAGAAATCAAATTAAGCTACATTGAAATAAGTGTGTAACAAATCAAAATTTTATGCTAGTGTAAGTAAGAAATAGATGTGAACAGAAGAAACACTACTTTTAATTGATAAATATAAATATGTTCCTTACTCCTTAGTTAAAAAACTATAAATCTACAAGGCATACTGCATACTCTACTTTGAAAACATCAAAACGAATTTTTCCCCTTTCCATATTTTAAAAGGACATAAAACTAATATTTTCTTCTTTGGGTCAGCAAAAACACCAATTTCTAAACGAAAGGGGAAAATAAGAAATTAAACTAATCCTGAGGGCACAAAACTGCAAATATTCAGCATTCAAGTTTCCAACACCACCACTTTCCATAAGACTACACAGTTTTCCCCAGCCAGTCCTTCGAATCAGAGTGAAAAAACCAACCTCATAAACAATTAAAACAAGAGCTAGAACATGAGTTTCCTTGAACAACACAAAAGTTACATAGTTTTAACCATATGGGCTCTTGTTTTTCTGCTTTCCTCCATTGATGTAGCAGCTAAATCTCGTCAGCCAATCTCTGTAAGTTTATCCTTTTATTTTATTTTTTGCTGTCAGGTGTGATCTTTACATAATTTTTAAGGTTTTATGATCTTGTTCCTCTTATTCATTTATTTTTGAGAGGAATCCGAGATTCGAGAGAGAAGAAACCAGTGCTATGCAGACATTGAAAGGTACTTTCAGTTTAAAGAAAGTTTTTTTTTTCTTTTTTCAAATTGTATCTATTTCTCGAGACTAACTCAATTAGATACGCGTTTAAGATGGAAAGTTAGGGTTTTTGATGGGTTTTGTGTATAATTATCATTATTTGGCATAAAAGGGGGTGATAGTCAAGAAGAAAGGAATCATTCTGTTTTATCTTTAATTCATTGTGTCTTACTTAGTCTTGTGGTGTTTTGGTATGTCTAATTTTTTGTTGAATGGTGCAATTTTTGGTGAATAGTGGATTATGGGGTCAGCAATGTAAATCTTCCAAGATAGCAAAGGAGAATTGTGCCTTGAATTGCCTCTCACCAACCTGTTATCAGCTCGTCTATGAGAGTGATCCGGTAAGGATCAAAGTCGGTCTGGAAAATTTTTGTATGGATTTTTATGTAAAAAATTATGATTTGACTGATTTTATTGCAAAAAGAGTTTGTTTTGATACTACATTGTTTGAGATGATTCAGGATTAAATGGACTGGTATGAACTTTGATAGTAGCATCTAGTTGATTTTGCTTTTTGGAAAAGGAAAAGGAAAATGAATGTTAATAATGGTACTTGTGGTCTGCTTGTGCAATTTTTGTGGTGGCTGATGATTAATCTGAATTTTCTTCTCTTTTTTTTTTTGGTTTTCTTGAATTAGTTGGAAGAAGGAGAAAAAGATTACATCAGGAGTCAAGAGTACAAGTACTGCATGCACAAGTAAGACAGATGCCTTGTATATCTGGAGAATTATATGGAATATCATGTTTTAATGTTTCTTTTGCCATATGTGCCTTGCTTAACTGCATTAGCATCTACGATGATAATTAATCCAGAATGATTGATAGAATATGTTGCCTGTGGGTTCTTTGAATGTGTTTTGCATCCATTACGACATTTTATGATGCTTATTTCACTTTCAAAACTCAGATTGAATCAATCGTTGCCTTTTCTATTTGTGGAAAAGATGTGAAACATAAATAATTGCATCACTACAGCTCCACAAGCTTACTGTTTGGTGAGAGAAGCCAAATAATTGCCTGTTGACTCAAGGGTGGAAGAGTAAGGTAAGAGAAGCAATAATAGTATGAGAAAATTCTGGCAGCTACAGTAACTAGTGTCAGGGCCTCTTCTTCCGAAGTCTTGGTAGAATGAAATGCATAATAGGCGGGGAGAAATTAATTGAAAATTGAGTAGTTTGTAGAGATTGATTCCAGTAAAATCCGCATGTCATGAAATATTGGAATTCAACTGTTACTCAACCTCAAATTTGAAGAGACTCGGTGTCATGCTGAAACGATTTATTCATCAGAAAGTCGAATGGTTATGATAACATAACCAACAGGCTTATTGATAACATAAATGAAAGTGCTTTACTGCTCGAGAAGCAAAACGATCTTGACAGTGTTTTGGATTACGAGAGGAAGGCGGTGGATGAAATCTGTGGCAATTGATGTTTGTATTTTGGAGAATTTTTATCTTAATACTGGGTGGGTTCCGTAAACCAGCTGCCTGTTGTGAATCAGTGAGGTCCAGTGAGGAGTAGTTCAGAAGAAAACTGTGTTGGCCAGCTCAAGTCCATGTCCTCCATTGCATTACCCTTTAGGGACATTGTCAAAAGGCACAATTCTCATTTAGTAACAAAATGAGTTCAGTGACTAGCCGGGTTATACCAGGAGAATTCTATACCGCAACTTCAGGAGGCATTTGGCAAGGCCCAGGAAGCCTGAAGGGGGTGGGATTCAGGGGCTTAGATTAGACGATCATTTTTTGGGACAGTGATAATGGTGGAGGGACCAATATTAATCTAAAGTAAGCTGTGCCCATTCACTAGGAAGATATCCCCAAATACTAAACCAGTTTGCACCCTCAATCAAGATGGCTTTACAATCATCAGTAATTAGAATATAAGCTGCATGTCTCTGTGTTCTGCAACAGCTGTAATGATTTCTTTTTTATTTCAAGTTACACATCTCTACATTGTTTACTTGTCTATAATTAACTATGATAATCACTTGATCCCTAATCATCTGTCACTCTTTCATCCTTCCTGTTTTATCTTTTGTTTCTTTTCAATGTTGCTGCTGCTTATCAGACGTTTGTTTCTTTTTTGGCAGAGTATCTTTAGGAGAGAGCCTGGATGGTATTAGAGGGGCCTTTGATTAGCATGCACGGGGGTGGAAGTTTTTAAAATTCTACTGTTCTATATGCATCTCAGCATGGCCAAACAAGATAAGATGGATGTCGTGCATTGGGGTGGGAAGTGGGGTGGGTTTTTTTTTTGTTGGGTGGTGGGGGGGGGTGGGTTGGGTTTGGAAGCATATTAGGTGGGAAAGGAATTAGGAGGTCTCTTTGTATTGCTCATTGACGTTCACTCTCCAGACTGGAATTGGCTCAGTTCATCGTTTTCAGTTTCACAAGTGTAAAGCTACCTAAACCAAATGATGCTTGTTGTTTGGATCATGTACTTACTTAGTCCTTTTTGGTTATTATGGAAATCTTACTACCAGCACAATCATATTGGTATATCTGTACCTGTGCCATAAGAAATTGGCACTCTGAATATTGATTAGTGCTGGATTGGCCGTTTATTTCTGATTTGCTGGCTTTCTGACCAAAAAATTTCCGCAAGAAGATGATTTGATGAATATCTGGGAAATTCTTGAAAAAAACATAATATATAGCTAGTACCTGGCAAACTAGTTCCATCCTTTCTTATTGCAGTTTATCGAATTTACAAAACAGGAACTGATTAGACTGTGATGATTAACAAAATTTTAAAGCAGGTCTAAGCCAGCTCATTTTGGCGTGGTAAGGGGAAGCAATTGAACGTGAAATTTCTCCCAGAACTCTATAGTTGAGCAAGGCCAACTAACTAAATTGTAGGACTGAAAAGGCATCGATTGGATGGTAGGAGTTGATAGTGGCATTTCATATACGGAGTGACACAAATAAACTAGAAATACTAAGGACTGAAACAAGTGAACTAGGAAAAACAGTGCAGAAATGAGTGGGAATTCAACAACAAACAAAGACATGCAATGGTAACAGTGCAGAAAGCTCAAGTGGAGTGGATAGAATACAGTCAAGCATACAAAGATTCGGAGAAGATGAGCACAGAAGAAACAGCAGCTAACCAAACTCAAGAGTACAGAAGTGGAGGATGCAGGGTTGATTAAAGTGAGTATTGCTACTCACAGGAGAACGAAAACTAATGAGGTTGGCATAGGTGGGACTGCTATGATCGAAGGGGATATCATAGTGGCAGCTTGGACAATGCATGAAAGAAGCTACAACTATCAAACAACTGGATGAAGTTGAGGCAATTAAGCTAGTCATAAGTAAACTGGCAATGAAGAGGTGGAAGAAGATCATAATCCAGAGCTGCAATAAGCAATGACTCCAGCAGATCCAATCTCGTAGTGTGACAAATATCAAAATGCACACTCTAGTTGAGGATATACTTAGCTTAAGAGCTTTGTTTTACATGTGCTCCTTTTGCCTTATGACTAAGAATGATAACCATGTTAGTAATAGAATTAGTGACTGTGCTTTAGGTATTTTACATGATGAGGAATGGATTAATCCTCTATGCTATTGATGCACTTTCGTGCATAGAAATGAACAGCCTTTGCTCCAAAGTGTAAAGATTATCGTGATCAATACAAGTTTGTTATTGTTTAGGGAAAAAAAAAAACAAATGAACTAGAATTGTATGGAGTTTAAAGAATAAAAGTGAAGAATAGGGGATAGATACGTAAATAAAAAATTGTGTTGTAGACATATAATGATAAAATTAACATTTAAAAAGTTGTATAAAAACTCCTGCCAGCTTTCAGTCCTTTTTTACGGACTAGGCAGAAAACTTTTTTAAACTGTAGCGGTGTAGCCCCAGTTTGTTTTACTTTTCATGGCGAAAAAGCTCCTAAATAAAAGTTAAAGTTTATATTTCTCTTCCTTTCCATTCTTTTTTACCCCAATCTTCAACTCCCAAACGAAGTCTTAGGTAACTAATCAAGGGAAGGATAAAAATGCAAGAGTAAGAAAGTTGAGGGACAAAATTATGCTTTAGTCCTTTTGTATTCGACAATTACGCCAATTCAGTCCCTTTATTATTCATTAGCCAGTAACTTATCTCACTCAACACAAATTTTTCACAAAAACACTGGGAAGATCAACACTAATTAAGACTACCATAGTATGTATAACTTTGGAGTTTTCACTGCATCATGGATTTAGAAAAACCAAAAAAAAATCAATTTTAATGATATATTATAGAGAAAGTTAGTGTGCCGCATGCACAATTATCGTATTATATAATTTAAATTTATTGCCCACAACCTTCATGTAGTATTAAAATTCTTTGTGTTTGCACAAAATGCATTCGAACATGTTTATTCCAAAACATGTATAGTAGACAAAATATACATTGGAGCCTTACAAGAGGTGTGTCAATGTTACAAGGAAAGAAAAAGAAGGAAGAAAAGAAGAAAGGACCTCTTCTAAAATTCGGAAAAGCGGGGCGCTATTAACCTTTGAAGACAGCACGAGTTTCCGTAAAATCGCACCGATAGTAAGCCAGTGTACAACTTGTATGGCATCAGTATCTTCATCGTCTGCACCAAAGCCCTCCAACACAGCCGCCGCAGAATCTCACCGGGATCTTCTCAAACAGGCAAGTCTTTCAATTCTAAGTTGTGGGTTGGTTCATAAATGTCAGAAATTGAAGAAATATTAATGGGTTTTGTTGTTGTTGTTGTTGAATAATACAGATAAGGAGTCACGAAATTGCCATAGCTGAGCTCAACAGTCTATCCTCTTCAAGGGTATGCATGTGGTTAAAGAAAGTAGGAAAGAAATATGTTATTTGCTCCTTTTTTTTTTTGTTAAAAATCATGTTATAAGATGGCATTTGGGAGTATAGGAGTATATAAATTCTTGGTACCTGAAGAAGAGCAAGTAATTGACATGTATCAGACTGTCCAAAAGAGAAAATAAGAGAAAATGTATCTGTAGTTTGAAATTTGTTACTTACAGTTATTGAGAAGATTTAGTTTAGTGGGTTGGAAGTTTTATGTGGTTTCCTTAAGATATGCCAGGAGATGGGACTGACTGGTTGTGAGTATTGAAAATCTTGTCTTTTTTCCCCTCCTTGACTCTTGAGATCATTAGGACAAGGGGTCCAGTCATAGAGAAAGAACAAACACTAGTGTAGATTTAACCCTTAACCTGTATATTGAAATAGATTTAAGTCTAATTGCCGATAAGTATCTGTTATGAAGGATTTCTGCAGAAGGGAAGAGCATAGACAAGCTTGGTGGGTTTTGGAGCAAAAACTAAGAAAATAAAATAAATAAATAAAAGAGTGAGAAAAATGTTCAACTGTTCTCTTTAGTGAGTTTGTAATATACAATTGAGTTACCAAGCAGAGAAATGAGAAGCCAATGTTTGATTATGGGTTCATGGAGTCCACTACTGTTGAATGGAGAAAAGGTGGGAAGTTTCTACAAGGGGAAAAAATTTTGTGCATCTGTTCTGTTAATGAAGTGGAAACTTTCGTGTCCCATATTTTTTCACTTTTTTTAAATTTGTTATAATTTTTATAGTTCGTTTGTCTCATGTATTGTGTTACATTGACTAAAGATGTAGTATAAGTAGGGGGTAAAACCATTTTTTGTCTTGAAACTTAGCATTTTGGGCTTTAGTTTGTGCTCCAAGGTGCATATAGGTTGTTTGGTAATAAAAAGTAGACATTTAGATGAGAATTTAAAGGTGCATATTCTTTAAGCTTTTTAGTTACAGAAGATGAGAACCTTTTCAACATTTCTCATTTGTTTATTTCTCCAAGCCTTGAGACATAAAGATCTAGATAAAGCGTGTTTCTTCTTGAATAATGGAGGTCCAATTAGGGGTAGGGGTGGATGGACATAGCTGAACCAAGTTCAATATATCTGACTCTCAAGCTTGGTTTGATTTCTCAAGGGTTGAGTTTGGCCTGATTAGAATCTGAGCTAAGTTGGTGAGTTTCATTAAATTAAGCACAAGTCTGATACTATCCCTTTCCAGAGGATGGGGGAGCTAAATAACATTTGTCTAGTGAGTATTAAATTCATTTTGTTAACCATGGTCAATTCCTATTCAAGTTTAGCACTGTCTGGAAAGCACTTGACTGCCCTATTGTGTCTAGTTTGCAACCATTAACTGCTCCAACTGCAGATTATTATGATTCGAATATGGTGAAGTTGCCTTAAGCCTTTAACCCATTTAAGTAGTTATATTGCTTGATTCTCAGGGTGTCTACCAGAGAAACGGGAACATTCTTTTTCGTACAACTATCCAGAAAGCAATTGCTTCAGCACAGAGTGAGAGATCTTCCACTGAATTCCATGGTTGCCTCGTATTTTCTGTGGTTATTCTAGTACCTTTTTTTCTTATTGCTGCTGTTTGACTATTGGACAGAACAATTGGATATTGCCAAAGTCAAGGTGCAGCAGCTGAGTGACTAAAATCAAGCTCCAAAACCAAGCTCATTGTTTACTCTTTAAACTCTATCGAGATGGCACTGAGAGGTGTCTGGCAGTTAAATAAGCTGATTGTTAGCTATTGTGATTGGGGAGGGAGCAGCCGAGGTGTCAGAGCATTTATGGAATCTCATTTGCCAGCTTTTAAAGAGATCTCCCCCCAGCTGGAGGTTGTAACGGAGCTTAATCGTGGTCAGCATCCATATTTAAAGGGACTGTATAGGAACAAAAATGAGCGGGTTGTATCTGTTAAAAATATGACTCCCGAGGACATACTACCATGTGCAACCAGGCTAAGAAATTCACTTGGAAGAAAGGTGGTCAAGTTGAAAACTCGGCACGTTACCAAGCACCCTAGTGTTCAGGGTACCTGGACAACAGAATTGAAGATGTGAGCTAAAAAAGAGAGTTACTGATATCTAATCTATTCCGGGGGTTTGGAACTCACCTAGTTTGTTCTTCCAAGTCTTTTGTCAGTAAATTCATATGATGGTGATGCAAATACAGTTCCTCGAGTTTTATTAGGTTACTTTTGTGTTCGAATTGTTGATATTTTGATCCAAATGTTCTATGAGTTGTGTTGCCAAGGAAAAGGAAATAGAACGCCTCATATTAACTTGGTGTCAGCATGCATGCTGCAATCCCGTCAAGAGATAGTTGCCTGGATTGCAAATTTATCTCAAATAATATTTCACTTGTATTATAAACACATTTTTTAATTTACTTTTTTATATTCTCAAATACTTTTTATCTTACATACATTACATCATAAAAAGTGCTACAGTAATTATTCAAATAATATTTTAAATAATACTCTTTCCAAATACACTATTTCCAACATTTTTCATGTGGTAGTAGCTGTAGTTTTAGGGTTGTTTCATGTTCCTTCATTACTGAAGTCAGCTAGCCCATACAATTGATGACTCTGCTTTTGATACGCAACTATGCTATTGGTTCCTAATGCATTGTTTTGTCAAACCCAATATGCAAAACCATATAAATAGCTGTCGGACTAAGAATGTTAATGTTCCTGATAAACTGACAATAAGCTCTCGACTTCTTCTAGGCAGACAGTTT